AATTATGCGAAAACATCATCTCGTCCCTGCGTTAAAATACATTATACTCATAATTTTCCACAAAAAATATGTGTAATGTTTGGTGTCAATCACCCATTTCCAGACGCATGCAAAATCATACAAATATGGTTATATGATGTTATATGTCACTGTACAGCCCACATTATATCACGAAAAAAGTAACATAACACTAAAAACACCTAAATGATTGTGGGATTCAACCACCAAGAATCAATTCAATCAACCAACAGATAAAATTGGGATTTATGATTCCTTTATTTTTTGTGCCTTGAATCCCAAAAAAAACTCTACATCTCCACTGGTCCCCGGAGCCACCTCAAAACATCCCCCGAGGAGGGGAGTGCCTCCGGATTTTTAGGCTCCGAACTGCCAACCTCAGTCACCTGGACGACGTGGGACCCTGGGACTCTCCGAAAATTCCAAAACTCGATGGGAAAAATGGGGTAACTGTCCCAAAAGGTTATGATTTTTTTTGGGTGAGATGGAACAATTATATATTACAATTTATCGAGATTTTGAGTTGTTATACTGTTATTCTTTCATGCAATGGTGATATATTGGGATATAATAGGGAGAACCACTATTTTATTAAATCGAGAAAAGATGGTACTCTTCAGTTGCTGAGTCGCTGACTTTATATTTTCCAAATGGTCAATCCACCATTTGGGAAGTCTACTGGTAATGTTTTTGTTTAATGCTTTTTTTATTGTGAGGGGGGGCAAACCCAAGAAAAAACATGGTGCTCTTGGGGTGCAGTTGCTATAACTGGATATCTAAGTGTAGTTCTGGGAGGTATATCAATCCCGACTTACGTGGTTGTATTTTATTGCTTCCGTGAGCACCTACTGTAATTTAACGTAGCCACGGAAAATTGCACATGTACGTAGACTATTTATCAATTAGACATGGTGATGTTCCAAAGCTTAGATCTGCAACCTTGGATGGGTAGTTTAATCCCTTAGTCACCCCTTAGTCTTTTGCTATATGTTCATCCATAACCGGCAAAACACATATGTTTGCGAACTATAGCAAAAAAACAAAAAGAACATGAATATACAATTATATACATGCATATATATATATATAGATACAAATGTGTGAAAAACATATTCTTGTGAACTACAGTATGGCCTATAGATGTATTGAATTACCAGGGGATCGAAACATGGGATAGTCTGAGGTTGCGGCCCGCAAGCCCCACGGCCAACCCCCAAGCCCTGCGGGAGCTTCCAGTGGCAGCGCCACGGCCAGTGCCACACCTGGCTCTAGCCCCGTGACGCGGGCGGCGGATGCTGGGAACCAATTTCTGTGGATTTGCTGGTTTTAACCACCAAAATCCACCAAAAAGCGTGTATAATAGGGATTTTATAGGCATATAACCATCGACAATAGGGACTCAACTATTTTTGGTGGGAGGGAGGGAATTTGATGGAATATGTCTTATTTTCTGGGGGTCCCTTAAGCCTTGAGCAAATCCCACAGATGAGAGCAGGGAAGGAGGAATTTCAGCAACAGTGGCGAGAAACCTATACCTACCACGATGAGGTGATGAAGGAGATCTTGGAGGAGAAGATCGCGAATGATGTCCAGCTCTTGTTCTGGCGTATCTGCAGTATGGCTGGCTAGTTGGGCAAGACTCCAACTAGCAGACTTCTGATCAAGGTCCTCCCTGGCGACGCTCCACATGATGCCTCAAATTGCTGGATTCAGCTCTCAGACGTGAGATCGAAATGCTCGCTCCATGTGAGTCCTCGAAATGACGACTTTGAAGTGGGGCGATTCATCGAATCATTTCAAACAGAAATGATCTTGTGCCTATACCGCCTTGTGGGATTGAAGTAACACTAATGTGGGTAAAGCAACGGGAATAGCAATAACACCTGCAGAAATGGGGATATATGATATGATAGAGGCAAACAATATTTCACAGGGAAAAAAGGATTAAACAGGAATGTGACTGATAAGAACAAAAACCCATCATTCTACCTGCCAAAATCGGATGTACTGTACCTTGTATGAATCGAACTATTCAATGTTTTTCTGTCCATAGGAAAATGTTTGGAAAGCAGTCCAACACGTGGGAGATTCCCATGGGAGGATTGATAAAACCTATCAATGGTGGGAATGTCCAATTGCAAATAGCATACCATAGTTTCAAAAACTCTGAAACAACTTCAGGGTGTCAAGAGGGCTATGAGACAGCTCACTTTGGCCAGACTCACTACAGATCAAGACTCCTTTGCTTGAGGGTGCATCATCATGCATCAACTAAAAATATTTGGAGTCAACCCCGGATTATAAGAACCTCCGTTTGTTTGCTGGGGTGTGCCAATCTTTTGTAGCATTTTTTTTTTGGGGGGGGGGATCTTTGGCTACACTCTCCGAATCAAACCGGGTATCTGAATCTGAGAGTAACCGTGTCAGTAGCCCCCATGCCAGAAGTTTTTTTTCCTCTACAACTATGGTGAATATAACCACATCAGTTAGTGGAGCCACACCACTCCCAGCCGTTGTTGAAGTATGTTGAAGTGTCGAAAAATCACTCTGGAGTGAGAATTGGATTGGGGCAACTATCCCAAGTCATGGTCGAAATTTGAACTTTTTGGGCCAGTGAATCATCATAATTCATCCCATTAGATTTCGTAAAATCTCCCCATGACATATCCTCATTATAGTTATACCATGGTTGGATTTATATGATTTCTATATATTTCTATAAGTATTATATATATATAATAATTATATATATGTATATCCATATCAATCTCATTTATATATATATATACATATGCATAGCCATGGTTGGGTTTGTATACATCCATGATCTCATCCTTAGCATCCCACGGTGTCCAACCGTCAGAGCCCACGGCGTCCAAAGGACACACCACAATCGCCGGCGGCTCTTCCAACGCCCGGGTCGATGTCTGCCAGCTCTTCGGCACCAAGTTGGAGGATGGTAGAAAGCCATAGAAAGCCTATATCAATGGATTGGTTTAAGGGAAAATTTACAGGAAACCATAGATTTTCCCATTAAATATGGGGTTTTCCTGTAAATTTTCCCTTAATCCAATCCATTGACTATAAATAGTGGGATGTTTAATGAGGGGAAATGGTGATTTAATGGGATTTTATGGGATATACCCAACAAACATGTAGTTACCCTCTGGTAAACGTTTACATAGCAATGGAAAGATCCACCATTTTTCATGGGAAAATCCACTATTTTGACTGGGCCATTTTCAATAGCTATGTTAAATTACCAGAGGGTAGTGGGATATTTACCACCTATTGACTGCAGGATTTCGCTGGCCCATCCACAGTAGGATGGTTTATCCCATTATCATTTTTATAATGTGTTTGCTTCGTAGCTACCTAATGCTTACCAACTGGTGCAGGATTTCTTCCACAGTATGATCCATCGGATGACCTTCCAAGCAAACATGGCTGGAAGGGGCCCCTTAGAGATGGAGGTCAAAAGCTGGGAAAATCTACCATGGGTCATTGTCCATAGCTATGCTGTATGTTACATAACCAGCTAGTCATAGATAGTATGGATACCACACAGTTCACTTACACTTGGTTTTATGTTTTAGTTGTTTAATGCCAAATGTTAATAAATGTTGCGACACTGTATTTCTCACTGTCCTTCGAAAACGTGCCTTGGATTGACAAGCCCCAGCTTTTACGCACGCAAAGTATTCCCCAAAATTGGCATTTAAAGGTGAAAGATGATGACAATCCTTTTGCAATTCGGATGAGTTGTAGCCATACACTTACTACAGCGCTTCTATCATTTCTATCGTATTTGCGGGATTACATGTGTTGCCAATAATCATCTAAAAATCAACTTTTGGCAGGGACAAAAAGAAGCCACCAAGAATTGGCACATGGAGTGTCCTATTTCCATAGACACTTGGAGGGTTATCCCGCTTAGGAAATGGGCAATGTTCATCCATTTTTAACATCCCTGTTGAATTACCAGAAGGTAGATTGGGATAGTTCAACTATAGGAATTATGGGACGTGATACTGTCACTAAGTATAAACTTTTCACAAGGAAATCTGCCTAGTACGTACAAGAAAGAAACTATGGAAAACTAAACCCCGCTGGCAGAACGAACATCCTATATATAGGTAGACTTAGTAACTGGCGAGTTGTTATATATAACCCATCTTTATTTCTGGGATGATTATCCATAGAGGACTTTGCTAACCAGGTTTTTTCCTTTACAGTTAGTAACTGAGGAAAATCCCATGAAAAATCCCATGAAAAATCCCATCAGCCATACATAAATCATGGAAATCCCTCCAAGAATCCCATCAAAAAACCACTTACTGGTGCGAAACGTAGGGAATGGATGGGTTGCTGGGGGTTGCTGGGATGATTATTGATAGTTAGCCAGTGGATCATTCCCGAAAATTCCCTGCGTTTAGCCATCAAAAATCCATGAAACTCCAAGGAGTGGAGCGTTTCGTGCGCCCAGGGACCAGTCCAGGACAACCACCGCGGCTTGGTTTTTTGCGAAGTTCCTGGGGGATTTTCATGGCATTTGAACATGGGAGGTGGTTCAATGATGTTTCATGTTTTTTTTCGGATTTTCATGGTTCATTTCATTGTAGTTTACTGTGATTTTCATGGGATTGTCATGTTTTTCAGATGATTTGCATGAGATTTTCACTGGGATTTTCATGGAATTTATCCCTGTTGGGGCAAAAGTTCCCAATGACTCTTCATGGATATTCTATTTTAAGATGGGTTTAAACCAACAACCAGATTATTCAATAAATATTTTTCTACATGGTACCAGCTTATGTACGGCTGAGAGTGTTTGACATCTTAGATGTTTTTAGATGCCTTGAGGCTCAGGCAAAACAACCATTTGTGTGGCTCCGTGAGTCACCGTGAGTAGCATGTCTAGGAGCTAGACTCAAATGGAAATGAGGCTACTTATGTTGTGGCAAACCTTTCTGTTTGTTCGCATGTCAAAAGACCCTGGCCGACTTTTGTGGTGCCCCAATGTTCGAAAAGAGCCTGAAGGGCCGAATAGAAGGTTGGACCCGGAAGGATATGGGGGCCAGTCGTCCCTGATGCATTCCCCGAGGTTTTTTTAAGACTCCTTTGAACGAGAATTGGGCAGACATGTTGCCTTGGCATTGTTGCGACTTGTTTATATTGTATTTAGACATATATATATATACATATCCTCACCAGGAATCGAAAATTAACATTGGAGCGGTAAACTTGTCAGAATCTAAATGTCGTAAAAATGCGAAACATATCCGCACATTGATGGGGGATAATGTGTGGCCATTTTTTGATTGTCACCCTTTTGTGCAGCTGGACATACCATCCATGCTACACTGACAAAACACCCGCTATGAAATGTCAGTGCACTTGTATTCACACATGTCAACGTGCATATGTCATGGGATTCCTGTGTAGTTTTGCTGGAGGAGAACTAAATGTGTTGAACTGTTGAAACAATCAAAAGCACCTTTGTGTTGAGGATGTTGGGGCCAAGCAGCTTTCAAGAGAGGCTCATACATCCCCAGTTGTCCCATGGCCCTGTCAGGCATTCAGCGCGTGGGGGGCACAGCTCGGAACCCTTGCAGCGCACTCGTGTCACGCATCATCTTCCGCCCGAGATCTTGTGGAAGCAATCCACTGAGGCACGGTGTTAGACACGCCGCATCCCAGAAAGGAGGGTTGATTTTGTTCTGAAGAAATGGGGTATAGCATTAACAGTTTTACTATAAAGTGGGGATATTATAAAAATACGCATACACTGTGGAAAGATATGCGAAGAAGAAACGGCAACCCGATCCATTTTACGAGGTATGATGTGAAAAGCATGTTTATTTCACCAATCCTTTGCAATGATAGACGTAAAATGGGTATTTCATTGGTTTAAAGCCAAGAAACTAACTGGCTTAAAATTTAAACGTTCAACCCACCTGAAATGCGAGATCATATGTTCACCCGAATATGGTATTTCACAGGTTAAGATCCAGTAAAATAACATAGACCCTCTGAAAAAAGATATGTGTTGATTGGAAATCATTCTGCCAACCCCCCACTCATGGGTCTACGCTAGTTGGAGGGATGGCTCCATTTGGGCCTAAGGCTTGCTTGAAACCTGTTGAGTACCTTCTGCTAAACTAACACAGCGATAGAACATTGCCTAATGTGGGTAAAACAATAATAAAACATCCCCATACATCCCCCAAATCACTATAAATAGGTTGTATAAAATGGTATAAACCATTACCACATGGGTGATTTATGGCATTGTTTTAGCCACAATATGTACATTGTTGATTTACCTATATATTACACTATAGTGATTTTCCAAAGCAACCGTCGCCAGACGAGGGTATGTATGATCTCATATGGTGTTGCTTCTCCGGGCTCAGTTGGTCCGATGCATCCAGTTCTTGTGTAAAAAAGATGTATAAGATGAGTTAAAAGCTGCAAGCCACTTGCTCCGGCAATTCAATCTGGCAATATCGGCAAATCAATTTTATTCATTTTTTTCAAATTATGAAATCCATGTTTTATGGGATTCGTTTTCCCAGGAAGATCCAGGAAGAATGTGCATGTTCACATTGCTAGGTCATGCTACTGCATCACTGAGGTGGACATGGGATCTACCTTGCCATTCCAAGAAGCGCAGGTGGATGAGATTGTGTCTAAAGAATGGTGGATGATCGGAAAGGCCTCCGATTATTTGACGATTTGCCATGGAAGCCATGGCCCATTAATTTATAGACAAGAATGATGAGTTCATATAAGTTCCGAACTTAAAAAAAAATGATTTTCTGTCAAATTACCAGAGGGTAGTCCCCAAAAAAGCAAGTTGAGTTGCACAAATGAAGATAAACCCAAATCATTGGATTGACATTTGCTGTAAAAACTTAGATGAGTTGATTGACCTATGCAGCCACAACAGGCTGCAAGCAAAAGCGGCAAAATCACACAACTACTAGCTACCTTGTTTCGTGAAGGATTAAGGAGGAGTTGTTCTTCTTTCTATATGTATATATCTAAATATGTTATTATCATATTGAATACGTATAACATTAATTCGTTAAACATGCAGGTTCGGTTTGTGAGATTGACAATGTTGATTTTGCTCTTGATCCCATGTTCGTAAGGTTCCTTTAAGAGTCTTTGAGGAGGCATTCAACTACGGGAAACCTGGAGTTCACTATAATTGACAGGATTTTCCTATATGTTTTCCTGTTTTCTGGGACACACTTGTTGGAGATAAGTCCGGGTAAACATTGCTATGCCGGCGTTTTGAGATGCAAATAGGTTCCACAAAACATCCAAAACATTCCAGAACTATCTTGCTTCGCGTCGAAAACGAAAACCTTAAGCGCAAAAACTTTTTCTGTGTTATATATCTTTCTCGAATCATGTTTCCGGTCCTGTCTGCATGGCCAGGTGGCAGACCTCCTTCCACTCCCCACGCAGCCCAGTGGGCCCACGGAGCCCGTGGGGCCCACAGCGCCCGGGCCCACTGGGCCGGGGCCGGGGCCGCAGAACCTGGAGGCTCTCAAGGTCGATCCGCTGGTGAAATGGGTGATATTTAGGCGGAATGGTCATGAGTTTTAATGGGTCATATATATATATATATATATATGTAAAATAATAATAATAATAATAATTGTTGGATGGATTGATTGATAGATTCGTTGATTTGTTTATTCATTCATTCATTCATTCATTCATGCATTGATTTGTTGGTTTGTTGAAAACCCAGGGACGAAGACAACTATGAGATTTTGTGGGATCAAGGCTCCAGTGTTTTTGCTTTTGAACATATAGGATGTGGAGGCTAGCAATGGGGATGCAACCAGGCATGAACTCAGTCGATTCCTGAGATATGTGCTATGTTATTTGCTGATAAAAAAGCATGGTTTTATGTCAATATTTCCCTTAAACAACCAATCCATTGATTTCTTTACACAAACCCATATCGTCCAACGAGTATAGTGTCGAGTTCGAACTCTTCCTACGGAACCTTGTGGACAATGTGTGCCGGAGCATACCCAAACTTGGGTGCCTGTATGTCTATATGTGCCCATACAAACTTACACTTCGATGTCATTATTACTAAATGAGTCATACAACAGGATGCAGTCCAACGAGACCACATCAACTTTCCTCATAGTTTCACGGTTTTGCCTGTCCCAGCAAGTACGTCTCACCCATTGGCCTGTTGTTCATATACGTTTTTTTTACCTCTACACTGCCCTGTTTGCGTGCAGTTCGGGCTTCGTAACGTGAATATTGTTCAAATCGTCGGTTCATCTATATAATGAATGTTGAGTAACCTAGCGTTTCTATGTGTCCCATTCCGATTGGGCTATAAAAATATACATGACCACACTCTCACCTAACAAGCTTAAGATTTGCATCGCCCCATCAAACTAGTTTTCTCTTTTCATGCATATGCCATGTGCATATGCTATGCATACATGCATATATATATATATATATATTATCTATCTAATCTATCTAATCTATCTAATTTATCTATCTATCTATCTAATCTATCTAATCTATCTAATTTATCTATCTATCTATCTAATCTATCTAATCTATCTAATTTATCTATCTATCTATCTATCTAATCTATCTAATCTATCTAATTTATCTATCTATCTATCTATCTAACTATCTATCTATCTATCTATCTATCTAGCTAGCTAGCTATCTATCTATCTATCTATCTATCTATCTATCTATCTATCTAATCTATCTAATCTAATCTAATCTAATCTAATCTAATCTAATCTAATCTAATCTAATCATTCTAATCTAATCTAATCTAATCTAATCTAATCTAATCTATCTATCTATCTATCTATCTATCTAATTTATCTATCTATCTATCTATCTATCTATCTATCTATCTATCTATCTATCTAATCTATCTATCTATCTATCTATTCTATCTACCTACCTACCTATCTATCTATCTATCTATCTGTTTCTGTAAAATAAATATCTTTATAATTCTTATTTAGGTATCCATATATATTGATATAATTTTTGTTTCTAAAAAAAAACTTGCCGCCATGGAGGTGCCGCTGGAGGAGGCCAAGGCGTTGCGAGTGAACACCGTGGACAGCGCGGAGGAGAGCACAGAGGCACTGGTGCTCCATGGAGGCATCAAAAATCGTGGATTTTGCCAGGGGAAAATGACGATATAACTTGGGAAGATGGTGATTTTTTCCTGAAACTGGTGATTTTCAGCAGGAAAAGGGTGGATTTGACTAAACAAGGTAGGCCAAAATGGAGATTTGGCTGGGGAGCCGGCATATATTGGGGATATACCAGAAGCGATGACTTGGAATCCTGTTCTTAACTGTCGTGTGATAAATCCAATACTCGATGAACCGATCTTGGAGGGTTTATACTGTTTATGAAAGCCATGCCTTTCGAAATTAGTGTCCAAAATTTGGCTTTCCAATTTACCACACTAATTACTTTATAGCAACTGAAACACAATTTCTCAAGATGAGAACAATGCCAAACCTGATTCGCAAAGATTGGTTCACACCTGCCCAGGCGCACTTTACAAAACATCAGCCAACACATATACAGCAATCCAATCTGTAGCGCAAACTGCGCTGTGAAACATCGACAATCCAACAGATAATACAATTGAATCAGAACGGTTGGTAGCTCCATAGGTCGTTGCCTGTCAAGTGCAGTATGCATTCTCCTGGAACCTGCAGTTCTGGCCCTTAACAGTTACACATGGGATTCTAACTCCTGTAACGAGGATTAATGGTGTATCATATATTTAAATGAGTTTTTTTTCTTAATATATGACTTAAATATCTTAGATTTAAATGAGTTTTTTCCAGCCAGTTACAACAGTTAAGGGCAATAACTGTGGGTCCTGCACCTGAGAGGTAAGTAGAGCAAATCCCAGCACCATGCAGTAATTCCACTGATAAGTCGCTGGGAAATATGTTCAAATCCCGGTTGCAAGAACATACCCCCCGATAAACTAACATAGCTATGGAACCGACTTATATATATATACACAGATAATCTGTAGACATTATATTATATATATGCATATATATATATATATATGTACTAGTACATATAATTCCCATTAAACATACAAAAAAAAAACAAGTTCCCCAGAACAAACTGTTGAACATGAGGCTACCCAGCTGACTGGTCGTCCAGCCTGCCTACATGGTGCAACCCAACTGCTTGGCATTTTGGTTAGTTCAATTCCTCACCCTTAGTCACTGGGATATGATATAAATTTTATATATATAAATGATGACTCAATAGGATTTAACAATCAACAATGGGGATTCTCCATTTACCCATCGGACATCATCGGACATCAAACATGGCTGGCTAGGAAACCCGAACTAAATGGACACTTATTTAAGATAATTTTGTCGAACTAAATGGATGATTTTCCAGCAAACAGAGGGTATATGTAAACCCCGTAATATCCCATATTATTGTTTTGTATTACTATCCCATTATTATACCATGTTATTATCCCATTAACATCCCAAAAATATCCGGATTGAACCGTATCAAATCATATTAAACAGTGTTAAACCATATGTTTAAACCCAAGCGATGGTTCAACCCAACTTTCAGCAGTTGGCAAATCGCAGTTGGCGAATTTCTTGGGCTTTATGGGCGCCTCCATGGCGACTTCGGCCTTGAACACTTGAAAAAATGGGAATATCGTGGAGATATGACGGAGCATTTTATATATGAATCCCATACCAGTTACATAATGTGACATAGAATAGTCAATGGCCATTCCAGGATCCGATCTATTGGAGGTACCTACCATATATAAGGCCTATTTTTTAGGGCTATGTAAGGGAATATCCCCAGAAAATATGGCCTTATATGGTACAGTACCTCCATTTTAGGATCCTGAAATTCCCATTGAAATAGTTTGGGGATATGACAAAATAGTCCCCTCCCCTAATATGAAACACCCAGAAACAATAATGGATGTAGGGGATGAAATAGCATATTTTGGGACCAACGAAAATGGGGTGTTCAATAGTAGGTGGATGGCATTAATGGGATATCAATGTGATATGTTTGGCATTCAGCTTGCAATACAAAAAAAATCGAAAAACGAACGGCATGTTATTGGAATATTGATGGGGAATTCTACCATCAATTTATGGAGATATGGAAATATCACTGGGATAGATTCATGGATATACTGGGATGTTTTAACTATCATGTGCATGAATTATGACATGTGCGAAGCTGCGATGTCACTAGAAATGGCCGAACTCTTGGGGTTGTGGCGAAGTTTGGTCCAACTCAGCATTTCCCTTTTGAGGGTTTAGGAGGGAATCTATATAAGATAAAATTTAGAAGGGTCAAAGTCATTCCATGGATTCCATGATATGCATATCTTGTGGAATGTTGTGCATAGCTTATATATATATATATGCATATGAATATATATATATATACATCGAGTGTGCACGTCCGTGGGCTTGTAAAATGTATATAGACTTTGACAATTGCGGAGGTGTGGGCATGGATTCTATAGTGTTTGCACTACTTACATTTATCGATCGAAGCAAGGAATGGCCATTGGTCTCCTTGCGGACCTCCAGGGGGACCATGGAGCCCCATTGCCATGTGCACCATTCATGGCGGTTGGGGAATTTGGTAAGAACACACCAGGATTCGAAACAATGACTCTAAACAGCACTTCTAGGACCGAATTTGTGCAACATGAGATTCCTTTCAAAAGCACTGCTTGCATTCATATGAAGATATGCATTTGCAACAAAGTTTTTGAGTGATTTCGAGCACTTGGCTCATTAGCTTGCCGTACCAACTTCATTTTCCAATTTCCCACAGGTACAGATGTTCAATGACACTGCTGCGACCACGCTGCTTGTCGAGCTCACGCTCATTGCTCGCCAATGGATTCTTACTTCGGACAGTCGCATTGACCTGGATGATTTCGAGCAGCTGGAGATTATTTGCTGCCACACATTTCGAGCAGCAGCTTTGGACCTTCCACACATTTACAACCGGCACTGTGAGTTTGGAAAGCTGCCAACACTACCGTCAGCACCATTGAAATGGTGGCCAAGGCCTTCGTGAATCCACGGATTCAAAGTGGTAACCAAGGTTACCCACAGGTGTGGGTGGGGGGGTGAATTTTTTAATGGGGGATAGACCCCATGCAATCCCCTTGTCCACCTGTGACCCCAAACGGATATAAACATAACACATATTGATCCGTTCAAGATGTTGGAACCTTTTCCAAAATTTACAAACCATCTGTTTGTGAACATTGATTCGCAGTAATTGGTGCGGAGGTTGGTTCGCATAAATGGAATGCGGTAAACCCAATGCCATGAACCCCAAGTCATCACCATGTTTTTTATCGGCACAAGCCATCCCCAAGTTTGGTAGGTTTATGGCATTGTGTTTCCCACATTAATCCCCTTGTTCGCAGCATTTTTGTGTTTGCTAAGGCTGCTAAGAGCCCTTAAAACGGCTTCAGCATGTCACAGCGTTCCAAGGACTCCACGTCGTTTCAGAAAGATGTTAGCCAGGTTCGCGACTGGCTGGGCGTGAGTTCCTCCAGGGATGCATAGGAATAATGTGGGTAAAACCATGATAAACCATCTCCCAAAGGGGTTATGACATTGTTTTACCGACAGTTTCATTTTTTTTACATCAGCTTTTAACCAGATCCTGGTCACCCTAAGCCGGTCCTAAGCCCAGTTCTGATGGTGTCACGACGGAATTTTGGCTCTCCTCCTGGGAGTGGACAGAAGGTATAGGTTTGTCTGAACATGGGGGATGGGCCCCCCATGTTATTTTCCAGAGGAGAATGATGATCAAACATGATCAAACATCAAAATCTGGGATATATGTTTTTTTTTAAATCAGAGCTCTGTGTGGAACGGGAACATTGGTGCAAGGTTGTTTCTCCCCTGAGTTGCAAGTGGATTGATATCACAGTCTTCCTACCTGGGTTGACAGGATAGTCCCGTGGCATATTTTTCCATGTTGGTCCGTCCCGAAAACAAATGGGCAGCAGGAACAGGAACAGACTCAAATCATAGTGTTCGCGTAAGGGCATGCTACCATCCTTAGAGAGAAAATGTCTCGCTCTGAATCCTTTAGATATGCAAAATATTAATATATACTGTAGTATAAACAAATACAAACACGGCATAGGATCTCAAGATTGTCCTCGTAGTTCCATATCAACACATCCTGGCTTTGGTTTCCTCATCTGTTGGTTGATCTCCCCATGTCCTCAGGATGTGAACGTTCCAGAGAGGGTCACTTCAGGGCGATTCCTCGTGGGGAGTGAGGCCGCATCTTGGGAACCAGTGGGCTTGTAGATATGGAATGATATGGAATGAAAACCATATGAAACCCTTAATAATCCCGCAAAGATATGATCATAATTTGTATTGGGCAATGTCGGATGTACTCTCGCTACACCAGTGCTGACCATTTAGCAGGTCCTTGACGTCGCACATGCGGTGCGGGGACAAAACACACAAGATGCAAACAAAGTGTTTGGTCATACTTGTTTCATTTTGCTTCCAACAGGGTGAAATTGACCCGAAAAAGACATGTGTAGATTTACTGATTGGAGGTTGGCATCCTTCTTACTTTGGTAATCAAACATGGCAATGGAGGTGTTGATGGGAAAGCATCTATCAATAGGGAATTGTCCATTGCATGTTTGTTTGTTTTCTTGTATGGTACTGTTATATGTGTATATATATATGTGAATAATGATTTAAACTTTAAAAACATATATAACATATATAACATATATAACATATATAACATATATAACATATATAACATATATATATATATTCCAGCATGTATATATATAATATATATGGTCCCGTCCTCCGTCTCTCCACCCCCCCCCCATGGGTTGGGTCCCCAGGTAGCAGCCCCAATTCCCTTCTATTTGCAAGCTATTGGCAGCATTTCTGAGGTCCAGCTGCGTATTTGCTAGGTCTTTGCAGCATTTCTGACTACCAGCCTCGCATTTACTAGATACATGCTACCTTTTAGGCGGCCTACGTAGCACACATACTCCTTCAAAGTACCTACGTGCTACCTATAGTCATATATATATATATATGTGCTATGTATCTACTGTATCTACTTCCTATTTACTACCTGTGTACTCTGACAACACTACCTGTGTTTAACATATACCGTACCTACCATACATGTCAATGATGCCAAGCATACCATACCTATCATATCTTTCATACATACCATACATACCATACATATGAAATGTAATTACCACACCTACGTACACCTACCATACATACAATAGCAAACATACATGCCATACATACCACACCTACCTTACATAGGAAATATTCCATACCCATCATAGTAACCATACATACCATACAGACCATACATACTGTCATATCAAACATACCATACCCAACAGACTTACATACCATACCTACCATCCATACAATACCAACCACTCATGCCATACATACCATACATACCATACATACCAAACATACCATACTTTCCAAACATGCCATACCAGACCGACCATACACACCATACATACCCAACATACCATACCACACCCCCACCACACCACAGGGGGGGGGAGGGGGACAGTGCCACACCCCCACCACACCACAGGGGGTGGGAGGGGGAAGATCTCATATGGGGCCAGTATATGGGACCCATCCCATGGGGGTGGGGGGAAGGGGGGGGGTGGCAGGGCCTGGTGCATATATATGTGTGTGTTTTTCTTTTATGTGCACATGTATATTTACAGTAAAAAATGCAAAGTGTTTGCTATGTCTCGGTGGATTTTTCAGCTGCGACCAGTGGACACAGCCAGGCCTTGATTGAAGACGCTTTTGCAACATCAGCATCCGTGGCAACTCAGCACATGTTGGTGTTTCGACCATTTTAGGACTAAAAATGACTAAAACCTCTTAACTCTTAACATCATAGTTTTGATGCGTCTGAGAATGGGGTATACTTCCAAGAATGGCAATCCTAATAGAGGAAATGATGATAAATGATGATAAATCAGTGGATGTAATGGGGTATTTTACCCTAGTTTCAATGAAACTCATATGGAAGAAAGGGTTCAAAAGCATCAATTTCATCAAATTTCCATGATTTAAAAACCAATGATGCCCAATTGAAGGCGTGACCGATGCGCATGGGTTGATCCATCCATATGAGATTGGATGGGAACATTTGCAATGTGGGAATTGAAACGGCCTCGCAAGGACCTTCATCGATGATGGTTGGGATTATCGGAATATTCAGCCCACTAAAGCATCAGAATGTGACACCCAACTCCTGAGAATTCTCGGGGCCTAGGGTTGCAGGGCAGAACCATTGTATTGTCGACCTGTCTGTTTGACAAAGCAACAGTGACAGCAAAGACAACGACCAGCTCTGCAGATATTCCAGTTCCACCACTAACAACTAGCAGCGGCACCCACTTCATATAGACGCGCGTTAGCATTTACTGCAGGTTTTAGCTACGGCTTCAAACATGAAAGATAAAATGCAGGGTTTCAGACTATTTAGGTCAGTCATGGTTTTAAAGGCACAATAAGAAGCGGCAAGGAATTGCGATTTATCAACAAAACCAGGAAAAGACATTTTGGCAAACCGTCATATGTATATAAATAACATATATATATAGTTTCACAAGGGACAGTGTGGATTGATGATGTGTGGCCCTGATTTTCCTAAGCACACCACACCTCTGGATCTGTTCCAACTGTCAAAAAGCCACGATTTGGGAAATCACCGGGCGGAGCATCATCCCACGGTGACAAGTCCCGGATGCGTGGGTTATCAGTTGCAAGGTGGTGCCCTGGTTTGGAATCGCTGGTGAAACCAGATCAAATATGTCGTATTTATATGTGTGCTTATGGATGTTTAATCATGATACTTGGATATACATGGGGGGTTCTTAAGATGGGTGATCCCCAACAATCAGCAAAGATCACAGCTGGTCACCGCCTTGCACCAAGTGGGCTGAAGCAACAAGTACTAAGGCCAGGAGACCGAGCACGGAAGGCTCCTACGAACAACGGAGTCGAGGCGCAAGCAGCTCCTTGCAGTAAACAATAACGGACATATCAATAGTAAACCAAAATCATTATTGAAAATCAATGAAAATCTCCATATATGTCATATATCATGATGGACATGTTTTGTGTCTACCTATGAAAAAATATATAATGGATTTGTAAATGAGCAATTTATATGCATTTATACCATGGCTACCCATGGCTGCGTTAAATGTCCTGCGGGTATATTTTTTCATTATATCGTGGGACATAATTTCGAATATATGCGGATATGGGGAGATAAATTGATACAACGCGACTCTTAATATAATCTCTGGATGCATTATGACCACTTCACTACAGATTGCGGATGATCTCACTATTTGGGGTACCTTCCCTCAACATCCCTAAACCAGGCTTTACCAATCCGGACTTGGCACATTTCGTCACATTTTGGGGGCGAACAAGTCTGAAAAAATGATTGGTGAATGGCTGGCTAGTGAAGCAGCTACTTTCGGGAATAAAGCAGCAACCATTGGGTTAGCAGAGAACTCCGATGATGGCTTGATGGCTTAATTTTGCGCTACGTGAGTCCATCATACGGGGTGGGTTGATGTGGGTTGGTGATCGCCCTTCAGAAGGTATGTCCAACCAGGTGTTGCCTCATTCGCATCACGATTCCAACCGTCCGTTTACTCCATGTGGAAGTTTCCTAAAATAAGGGTACCCCAAATCATCCAAAAGTAAACTATTCTAGTATTGAAACCGATGGTTTTGGGGATCCCCGATTTCAAGACACCCCCATATCATTTTTTAATATAGTGTAATATGGATCGTATTCCTGCTTACATGTGCTTACATTTGCATTTGTGTATTGTGGTCGGTTTTGGGCCTGGGGGTAGCAGGCGAGTTATGTGTGATATCGGTTGGGCAGACATTGGATGGCCTTGGCTCAATGCGCATGGCTCAAAGTACCCGAACGTGGATGGTCCACTGGTGAACGCAAAAATAGGTGGCAAACGGATGTTCATCCCCCAAAATTTCATACACTAGTTTTTGAATGTTTTTGATACATCCCTGTCCCTAAGTCGCCCTAGGTGACAGTGTTGGTCGGTCCATTCAATCCATTCCCCCGTTTTGAGTCAGACCCAAAGTCCCAACAAAAACCATCCAGGCATCCAAAAACGTGTGAGTTGGGCGCCCTTGATGCGTAGCGCCAAAGAGGAGCCAGCCATATTTTGGATGGGCGAAAAGTCGGTGTTTGAATGCCCAAAATATGATTTATGATGGAGTTGAAACCTTTTATTGAAGCATTGTTGTTGGGGGTATTGTCTCTCAAGGTCATGTGTGAAGCCATCATTTTTCGGGTATTGTCTCTCAAGGTCATGTGCGAAGCCATCATTTTTGTGTGTTGTTTGTTCCTCCCAGGGACGGCAATAGAGAGAGAGAGAGAGCAAGAGAGAGCAAAAACCATGATCCAAATATAGCTTACAGAGGGAATTTCAGAGCAACATTTTGTAACACCCATAAAAGGA